CCCAGTATTGCCAACGTGACAATTTCCGATGACTCCCCACAGTGGTCCAAATTAAACACATTCCTCCGCAGGAATGTGTTTAATTTGTGTTTTGACGATTTACCTTCTCAAAAAATCTGTCCATGTCTCGCACGCCCAGGGAGTGGAGCGTGCACCCCAGCTTAAGATGAAGAACCACTGCTCTAACGGGTAAGTCTGGCCTACACTTCCACGCCGGCGAGATGTTTTGCAAGAGATGGAAGTCACTCCCTGACCCAAACGTTACTCCACCAAACGCGAGCTGCCGATACACCAACCGTGGCCGTTGCTACCGACTTACGGCCATTTGACTTGCGAACTTTCAAAGATACGAACCTGTCCGTACGTCCAGTTGCCTGTTCGGACAGTCGTAAGTTCAACAGCCGCACAACAGATGGCGGTGGTGGCATATACACCTGCAGAACGTGAAGAAGCGGTGGCATCTACGTCTACGGGAGATGATACAACTTTTACAGCCATTCCCCGTGTTTAGTGGACATTCCGTACGTGTTTGGAATAGACATAAGTTGGACCATTCGACTTACGAACAGGCATCTAACTCGTTCGTAAGTAGAATACTCCCTGTACACTTCCAGAGACAACAGGATACGGCAGACATGAACACAAGTTGGCTCATCGCTTCAACTTCTGCTATGCCGGGAGATGGAGCCGGTGACCGGCATTCGTACGTTGAACTTCCTTCGCACCGTACGTAGCCAAGCGCGCTAATCGGAGGTGCGGAGGGAAGAACTAATCACAAAAAGCAGTGTAGTGTATAGTGAAGTGTAGTATATAATGTAGTATGTTGTGTATCCTGTAGCGTAGGTATCTTGAACTCCTTTCGCACCAACCGTGCTAATCGAGATGTGGATTTGGAAGTGTAAACTCTACAACCGATGCAGCAGTGGCGTCCTTCCCGTGCGTCGCGTCGTCTGCACAAAGACTCGCAGGCATTGGCACGCACATCTAAAGATGATACCGTTGGGGCCCCGGCGTTTCATCCCCGGTCTAGTTGATGTCTGATGGGTGTGTGTCTGTGTGGGAGCGGTAGCCGCCCGGAGCGACGGGCTGCTAAGATGCAGCAAGTTGGCACTATGGGGGGTACAGCTGGTGGTGCCTCTAACGGTCATCTCAATCAGCCAAGCCCATGGCACCTGGGTCTGCCCCGAGACCTCCTGTCAGCAGCGAGCCTTCGACACTCCACGTGGACTCAAAGTGCACCTGGCCTGGCACAGGCGCCGTGGTGACGTCACCGTCACTTAGTGGCGAATGGCGGATTTTGGTATTGGTGGAGCGGTCGTGTAGTGCTACGAACCTGGCAACCCGAGTTCGATTCCCGCTCAAGGCCACCAACACCTGTGACGATTATCTACACCGTCCCTGGGCCTCCCCCCTAGGTCGACTCAGCCTCAAATGAGGACCTGGTGCAGCACGAAAAAAGATCGCCACTGGGAAGACAAAGGCGGCCGGGTGTGGTGCTGGCCACCCACCCCTCGTGTGCCGTTCTGGCCTTCATAGGTGCTACACACTAACAGCACTTGCCCCAAGTATGTTTAAGTCTACATGGGGGATCTTTGTCTTTGTGTGCGTGCATCACAACGCGATGTAACCGCCCCGTGCAATTGCCTCGATAAAAATAAAAAATAATGACACCTTTGGGACAGTTATTTTTAAAACATCTTTAAGTTTTGAAACAACACCCACCGTCAGATCGTTTGTTAGAAAACAAACGTATGCCGAGAGAAAATATAGAATTGCGCTATTTTGACAGAAGCCGTCGATCAAAAGCCACTCGCCGAAATAAAATGTACAAATTATGTAATATCTCCGATAAAAAAAAACGAGACGCCAACAGTTATGAAGAAACAATTGTAATTAAAACCATCCACGCGACAACACTGTTACAAAAAAAAAGCCTTTCCGGGATTAAAAAAAATAACTAAGAAAGAGAAATGAACCCCCTTCATAGCAGGTCCAAGCAGCTGCTCCTCTGCGTTAGCGGTGGCCAGGTGGTTCAAGAGGACACGGCTGGAGTCCAACATCACCGGTGCCAGGACCAGCTAACCCCGTTGACGACGAACAAACAAGTCGATTGTGTAGGGCTACGATGGGTTTGGTGACGAGTGGCCGGCATCCGAATACTTCGTTATTTTACACTTTTAAAGCGAGCAAGCCATGGCCGTTGGGGGGGGGGGGGGGGGGGCAGGGGGTTGGGCGCTTCTGGCCGCTGCACGGTGCACCGGAAGTTCCGAAAAGTGCCGCTGGGCACTGCCAACGACGTCGCGCACGCGCCACGCCGTGTCCTCGCGGCGCCCCCACCGACCGATCGACCGAACAAGCCAACCGACCCATCGACCGATCAATCGACTGACCGACCGATCGAACAAACCAGCCGGCTGAACGACCAAATGATCAATCGACAGACCGATCGACCGACGGACAGACCGACTGACCGGCCGATGGACTGACCGATCGATGGACAGACCGATCAATGGACAGACCAATCACCCGATCGATGGACAGACCAACCGACCGATCGATGGACAGACCGATCAATGGACAGACCAATCGACTGATCGATGGACAGACCAACCGACCGATCGATCGACCGACCGATGGACAGACCAATCACCCGATCGATGGACAGACCAACCGACCGATCGATCGACCGACCGATGGACAGACCAATCGACCGATCGATGGACAGACCAACCGATCGACCGACCGACAGGCCGATGGACAAACCAATCGACCGATCGACAGACCGATCGACCAATCAACCGACCGACCAGCACCACACACGATGAACGCGTCGTCACCGGCTCTCCGCTCCAACAAAGATCCAGGCGGCTTCTTGCGAGAACCAACCGTGGCCCCGGTTCGTTTCCGGCTTGGTGGGCGGAAACCCCCCCCCACCTGTACCGTGGGGGGGGTGGGGGGGGAGCAGAGGGGAGTGGGGCGCCACCTACCCCCCCCCCCACCTGTACCGTGGGGGGGGGGGGAGCAGAGGGGAGTGGGGCGCCACCCGCCCCCCCCCCTGCCACGCTGGTTTGGCTCGGAAGTGGCCAGTGGTGAGCCAAAAACTAAGGCACCCAAGTGAGACGAGGGCTCTGCATCAGATTAAACGGGGGTTCTGTGTGGGACAGGGTGAGGGGGTTCTGTATGGGACAGGGGGTTCTGTGTGGGACAGGGAGAGGGCGTTCTGTATGGGACAGGGTGAGGGGGTTCTGTGTGGGACAGGGTGAGGGGGTTCTGTATGGGACAGGACGAGGGGGTTCTGTGTGGGACAGGGTGAGGGGGTTCTGTGTGGGACAGGGCGAGGGTGTTCTGTGTGGGACAGGGTGAGGGGGTTCTGTGTGGGACAGGGAGAGGGGGTTCTGTGTGGGACAGGGTGAGGGGGTTCTGTGTGGGACAGGGTGAGGGGGTTCTGTGTGGGACAGGGCGAGGGGGTTCTGTGTGGGACAGGGTGAGGGGGTTCTGTATGGGACAGGGTGAGGGGGTTCTGTGTGGGACAGGGTGAGGGGGTTCTGTGTGGGACAGGGTGAGGGGGTTCTGTATGGGACAGGGTGAGGGGGTTCTGTGTGGGACAGGGTGAGGGGGTTCTGTGTGGGACAGGACGAGGGGGTTCTGTGTGGGACAGGGAGAGGGGGTTCTGTATGGGACAGGGTGAGGGGGTTCTGTGTGGGACAGGGTGAGGGGGTTCTGTGTGGGACAGGACGAGGGGGTTCTGTGTGGGACAGGGTGAGGGGGTTCTGTGTGGGACAGGGCGAGGGTGTTCTGTGTGGGACAGGGTGAGGGGGTTCTGTGTGGGACAGGGAGAGGGCGTTCTGTATGGGACAGGGTGAGGGGGTTCTGTGTGGGACAGGGTGAGGGGGTTCTGTGTGGGACAGGACGAGGGGGTTCTGTGTGGGACAGGGAGAGGGGGTTCTGTATGGGACAGGGTGAGGGGGTTCTGTGTGGGACAGGGTGAGGGGGTTCTGTGTGGGACAGGACGAGGGGGTTCTGTGTGGGACAGGGTGAGGGGGTTCTGTGTGGGACAGGGTGAGGGTGTTCTGTGTGAGACAGGGTGAGGGGGTTCTGTGTGGGACAGGGAGAGGGCGTTCTGTATGGGACAGGGTGAGGGGGTTCTGTGTGGGACAGGGTGAGGGGGTTCTGTATGGGACAGGACGAGGGGGTTCTGTGTGGGACAGGGTGAGGGGGTTCTGTATGGGACAGGGCGAGGGGGTTCTGTGTGGGACAGGGTGAGGGGGTTCTGTGTGGGACAGGACGAGGGGGTTCTGTGTGGGACAGGGTGAGGGTGTTCTGTGTGGGACAGGGTGAGGGGGTTCTGTGTGGGACAGGGAGAGGGCGTTCTGTATGGGACAGGGTGAGGGGGTTCTGTGTGGGACAGGGTGAGGGGGTTCTGTATGGGACAGGACGAGGGGGTTCTGTGTGGGACAGGGTGAGGGGGTTCTGTGTGGGACAGGGCGAGGGTGTTCTGTGTGGGACAGGGTGAGGGGGTTCTGTGTGGGACAGGGAGAGGGGGTTCTGTGTGGGACAGGGTGAGGGGGTTCTGTGTGGGACAGGGTGAGGGGGTTCTGTGTGGGACAGGGCGAGGGGGTTCTGTGTGGGACAGGGTGAGGGGGTTCTGTATGGGACAGGGTGAGGGGGTTCTGTGTGGGACAGGGTGAGGGGGTTCTGTATGGGACAGGGTGAGGGGGTTCTGTGTCGGACAGGGTGAGGGGGTTCTGTGTGGGACAGGACGAGGGGGTTCTGTGTGGGACAAGGAGAGGGGGTTCTGTATGGGACAGGGTGAGGGGGTTCTGTGTGGGACAGGGTGAGGGGGTTCTGTATGGGACAGGGTGAGGGGGTTCTGTATGGGACAGGGTGAGGGGGTTCTGTATGGGACAGGGCGAGGGGGTTCTGTGTGGGACAGGGTGAGGGGGTTCTGTATCGGATGACCACAAGTGCTGCTTTGGATCAGACGAGGGGGCTTCTGCATTAAGACTCGACTGGGTCTGCATTGGCTGCAAGGAGCGCGGTGCTTTGCGATGAGATGCAGCAGTATCACGCTCTGGTAACGGGCCCCAAGCCAAGGATTCTAATAACACTGGTCAACGAAAAAAAAAATTTCTGGCCTGGACTTTTGCAGCTGTTTTAGACTAATTTCAGGGTGCTGATTCCAAATCTGATCTCAGATTTGCTCTATCGCATCTCATTTTTATGCTATCGGCATACCCCATTTTCATTGATTTTACCCGAAATTAACTCTGTCACTTATGATTGCAAGTTGTTGCGAGTCAGTGACTGCTTTAGTGTTAAAATATGGTGCTGTATTTTTAGGATAGTGTGTTTATAATATCATTTTATGTAGATATCCACATTTATTTAATATTTTTCTTCTGCAGTTTTTATTGAAAATGCAATATTTGATATCTCAAAAACCTGATGTTATAGACAAAAACTAATGCCAGATTTGGAATCAGCACCCCAAAATTACCTTCAAACCGTTGGAATACCTTTTGCCAGAAAAAGTGTGTTGACCAGTGTCATCGGATGAAAATTCTTCAGCGGACCGAGCCGACGGTGTTTCTCCGAGACATTATTTTTTTTTGCCGTGAAAAGTCCTCCGTGGAAAATTCCATTGATATTTCATCGTCGACTTCCGCCAACGGGCAAATACGTCGTCGCAGCTGTCAGCATTTCTTTTTTGTTTAAGCCGTTGCCATTTTTTTGTTCTCATTTTTCCGTTGTGTATTTTTATACATATATCCAGAATGCATCCTTTCTCTTCAAAGATCACGATGAGAGCGCTTCATGGAAAACCCAGCATGTGACTTTCTTTTCTTCCCTCCCCAAAAGCCCGTCGGAGCGTCCCTTGCATTTCAAAGCTTGTCACTGAACACACGCGGCGCACAGAGAGGACAGAAATCAATCGTTGATCAGCGGTATCCGTCGGGGGACGAGAGTTACTGTCGAATCGCTACGAAGGCCCGCCGGTAGCTCACGAACACCGGGGTGGTCCTGTCGGTAGCCACCATGCCAGGCCACCTTCCTCTCCCCACTGCCGTCGATGTTTTAGGCACTTGCAGCAGCAGGGACCAATGTAAGGGCCTGTCGCCCTCAGGGAGGCCCAAGACTGGTTGGGACGTCACTGGCCGTCTTGCAGCGCGCCGTTAGTGGTGCCCTTAGCGGGCGACTATTGTGCGGGCGGGGGTTTGCATGAGGGGATGTGGGGGGTATGCGGGGGGGGGGGATGCGGGGGGGGGGGTGCGGGGGGGGGGTATGGGGGGGGTCACGGGGACGGGTCGCGGGGGATCGTCACGAGGGGTCGCCACGAGGGGTCGTAGCGTTGGGGGTCGTAGCGGGGAGGGGGTCGTAGCGGGGGGGGGGGTCGTAGCGGGGGGGGTCGTAGCGGGGGGGGTCGTAGCGGGGGGTCACGAGGAGTTACAAGGGGTCACGAGGGGTCACGAGAGGTCACGAGAGGTCACGAGGGGTCAAGAGGGGTTCACGAGGGGTTATCGCTAGGGGTCATGAGGGGTTCCCGTAGGGTTCACGTGGGGTCGTCACGAGGGGTCGTCACGAGGGGTCGTCACGAGGGGTCGTCACGAGGGGTCGTCACGAGGGGTCGTCACGAGAAGTCGTAGCGGGTCACGAGGAGTTACAAGGGGTCACGAGGGGTCACGAGGGGTCAAGAGGGGTTCACGAGGGGTGATCGCTAGGGGTCACGAGGGGTTCCCGTGGGGTTCCCGTGGGGTCGTCCCGAGGGGTCTTGGTGAGGAGTCGCCAGCGAGTCTCTGGCGCTGCGAAGGCTTCACCTGTCAAGGCGGGACACCACGTCGCGCACCGTGGCCAGGAGGCCCTCGTTCTCCTGCGGGCTCGCCAGGATGATGTTGTGCAGCTTCGTCATGTACGAGTCGATCGTCTCCAGCGTCGGCGTCTCGCCAGAGCCTGCCGCCAGCGCGCACACACACACACAAGCGTCAACAATGATTGCGAGCAGACACGCACGCGCACAGAGACAAAGGGGACCCTTCCCACTCTCCCCCTCCCCCCCGTAGAGCCTGAACAAACTGTGCTGTTAGGAGCACCCACGAAGGCCGGAAGAGCTCATCTCCCAGACGTTTACACACCGCACCGGGTACTCATTGAGAGGCTCGGTCGACCTACGGGGGGAGGCCCACAACCAGTTAAAAAATATTCGGCTCGATTGTAAAGTGAAAGAATGAAGTGTTAAGAGTGCCAGCCACTCGTTCCCAATTCATGACAGCGCCACCACTCCCCACACACCGAACAACCACTGTGCTGCAATGTGTCTCTTTGTCAGAAGCGACAAGGCTGTCAAGCCCAACGAAGTGGCTCAACCATCCTCATCGCGCGGGAATTTATAGCAGCCCAATACTCTAAAACGCGTGATTCTAAATGTGGATGGAAAAACCGAGAAAAATCGGTGAAAAATCCACACGACCACGCGGAGAGAGAGAGAGACACGCAAACTCCATATATACAGCAGCAGGCGCCAGGGTCGAACCCACGACATCCCGTATACCAGGCGAGGCAGTTAACATTTACGCCACCCTGGCGCCCCCCCCCCCTCCCCCCACGTATTCAACCGGCCAGACGCCGAAGGCGGCGCCGGGGCGGCAGACGGTACCGGGCAGCGGCACGGCGGAGAAGCCATTGGTGAGCGCGTGCCGCAGCGCCTCCAGATGCTGGTGCAGCGCCAGGTTGTGCACGCGCTCCGCGTTCACGTCGCGCTCCAGCCGCTCAACGGCGGCGCGCATGTTCTCAATGTGCTTCTGCAGGATCGCGTTCTGCTCCTCGTACTCCGTGTTCGTCTTGCGCAGCTGCCGCAGCTCTGCCTCCCGCGCTGGGGGGGGGGGGGCGGGGGGGGGGAACGTGGGTGCAACGACGAAGAAGTGGGGAGATGTCGGTCGATCGGCTGGTTGCTCGGCCGGCCGGCCGGGCCGTTGGTGCGCGGGGTCGAGTGAGCGCGAGAGATGGAGGGAGCTCAGCCAGGCTGAGAGCGTCGCTGCACAGGCCAGTGGGAGGCTGCACAGGCGAGTGGGAGGCTGCACAGGCGAGTGGGAGGCTGCACAGGCCAGTGGGAGGCTGTACAGGCCAGTGGGAGGCTGTACAGGCCAGTGGGAGGCTGCACAGGCGAGTGGGAGGCTGTACAGGCCAGTGGGAGGCTGTACAGGCCAGTGGGAGGCTGCACAGGTGAGTGGGAGGCTGTACAGGCGAGTGGGAGGCTTTACAGGCCAGTGGGAGGCTGTACAGGCCAGTGGGAGGCTGCACAGGCGAGTGGGAGGCTGCACAAGCGAGTGGGAGGCTGTACAGGCCAGTGGGAGGCTGCACAGGCTAGGGGGAGGCTGCACAAGCGAGTGGGAGGCTGTACAGGCCAGTGGGAGGCTGTACAGGCCAGTGGGAGGCTGCACAGGCCAGTGGGAGGCTGTACAGGCCAGTGGGAGGCTGCACAGGCGAGTGGGAGGCTGTACAGGCCAGTGGGAGGCTGTACAGGCCAGTGGGAGGCTGTACAGGCCAGTGGGAGGCTGCACAGGCGAGTGGGAGGCTGCACAAGCGAGTGGGAGGCTGTACAGGCCAGTGGGAGGCTGCACAGGCGAGTGGGAGGCTGCACAAGCGAGTGGGAGGCTGTACAGGCCAGTGGGAGGCTGTACAGGCCAGTGGGAGGCTGCACAGGCGAGTGGGAGGCTGCACAGGCGAGTGGGAGGCTGTACAGGCGAGTGGGAGGCTGTACAGGCGAGTGGGAGGCTGTACAGGCCAGTGGGAGGCTGCACAGGCAAGTGGGAGGATGCACAGGCGAGTGGGAGGCTGCACAGGCGAGTAAACCGAGCGACCGAGCTCTGGAACGAACGGGGCATCATCACGGCCCCTTTTGTCAACTCGATGCCGGATGAAGACCGTCTCGAGACCGCGTTGGTCGCCGGCTGTTTGTTTGACCGCACTTGGCCGCGCTGGTCAGTGCGAGTCCGTGAACAAGTGGGCGGGGGCTCAGCGTTGCGGCGAGAGTCGAGGTCACGATGAGAAGCCACAGACAAGCAGGCAAAGGCGGCCCACGCGGTGAGAGCCGGCGCCAACAATTGCCCAAGCTCTGGGGCCCTCTACACAGATTAAGGCGTCGTCAGCCAATGAATGAGTTGTACGTACGTATGTTGAGCTTATTTTCGCAGCGTACGTGGCCAACCGTGCTAATCCGAGCGTGCGGGCGACTGATCTCTCAGACGACTGTGGTTTACACTCCACGCTCTTCAGAGTAGGACCTTACGACTACACCCTCCCTGCATCGGCTCTTGCGCTCGACGCTGGGGGTACGGGCCTTCTCAAGTGTTGCCCCAAGTCCCTGGAATTCCTTGCCAGCGATGATCCGGCACGCTACGAGCCTCGGTGTGTTTAAGAGTGCATTATTTTCTCGTGGCTTTTACTTAAACATGATTTTATTGTCTCAGCATTTTGTTTTAGTGTACAATTCTTTGATACCCCCTTGAGTGGAGGTGGTATTACATTTAAAATAAATGTGTTTGATGGTTTAGGACAACGAGCTAAACACGCAAAAATGCAGTTCTAAAAGAAAACGAGTTTGTCAATGTAGATGATGATTTAAAAGTGCCTGGGGCACAACGTTTGCCAGGAGCGGGCGAGCGGAAAGAGTTACCTTTGTTGTGGTCGAGAAATTCTTCCGTGAAAATCGGTATGTCAAATACCGACAGCTTGTCTCTCGATTCGTCTTCGTTCTGAAAGGATAAAAACACAACACCACACCACATCGGGGAATGACTAAAACTAAACTAAGAAGCGCCGGTGGGGGGTACAATCGACGCGACTCCATAAGGCGGGTTTCACTCCAACAACACGATGGGCAGAAGGGATGACGTTTACGGATGCCGGCGAAGCTCAAGGCCAAAGCCTTTGACAAGAGGGATACACAAAGATGACGATGAATGTCACACAAATAGATCCGCCGTGTCGAGATGTTAAATCCCTCGCCTTGGTATAGTAAAGCATATCTTTGGTTAAACATACCATTATCCATAAGGCTCTTCTGGGGCTGTATAGTTCCAGCGGAATTGGTTTGGTTACAAAACTGAGAACCAGTTTCAACGTTCAGTGTCTTATGGGCAGATTCAAGCACACGCTTTAAACCAAAGCTGGTGAAACTGCCCAAATGTAAATGCGTGCGAGTTTACCAAACTACATAATACAGAATAAACTACATAATACATTTTGATTTAAAGCTTTCGTAACTGCAGGGATTCATATTCTTGGTTCTTTCAGTAAAGCCACGTAGAAGGGAAACAATAAAATAAAAAATATATAAAACAATAAAAAATTCTATCAAACAATAAAATGCATTTTATAAAATGCATTTTATTGTTTTAGTTTTTTTGCGTGAATGGATCGAGTTACCGATTCTTTTTTATTTTACCAGATAAGGTCCACTGAGCTACTGGCGTGGAGTGAACCAATGGGCGTTCGACGATTTGCAGGGTAAGCAAAGTCCACAAAGCGAACACACCGATACAGAAACTCGTCGTTAATTCGTCCCCCCCCGAACACCGTCCACCCACCGCTCACCCGAGCCCGACGGACAAGGGAGCAAGAGAACCAATCCACCGTACCTCATTTGACGAGCCATTAACAGAACAAGGTTCCTCTGCGGGAAAGGGGAAGAAACACAACAACAGGCCAAAAGTCGACGTCATTCGGCAACAGCGGATAGGACGGGCGTTGCCCCACCGACTCGCTCCCATGATGCAGTCTCCCCCCCGCCCCCGTGCAGCGTTACCGTACCGGCGAGCCCTCGCTTCGCGCGTCCGCGGTTTCGATCCGACAAACAACTTTCATTGAGCTTCTCTTAGGTGTTTTCGGTAAAGTCACGTAGGTAAAAATTTAATTTAAATTAATAAAAGTAAAATAAAAAATCACGACGTTTCGGAGGCAACACAAGCTTCCGTCTTCAGGTGGAACCGTTACAGCACGATTGCTATATCAAGTACTTTACTTGTGTTGTATTTTACTTTTATTAATTTTTATTTTATTTTTTACCTATGTGACTTTACCGAAAAACCCTAAGAGTATGAATCCTTTCAGTCACGAAAACTTCAAATCTAGAATTTCATTGATCTGTGCGGCCAAGTGGTACGGCGATACGGTAACGCGGAATGATGCGGTCTCGCGATGGCCGCGTACCCAGGTTATTTGCCCCGCCATCTCACTGCGCGGTGTGCGTAGCAGTGGTACATCGTACCTCGCCAAACTTCACCGTTATTACATCACTTACGGGGAGATTGTTTTCGCTTCACGCGTTTTTTTTTCCGCTGAACGCGAAACTTTACAGAAACCCGTCAACTTCCGCGTTAAATGGGGACTTACTGTACATACAGTATAACCAATGCTCCCCCCCCCCACCACCCTTCCCGTTCAGAGCGATCGCAGTCGCAGGAACGCGTTCCCTCGTCAGGATCTCTACCTCCTACGGTAACCCAGGCGACGCTGCCCTCTAGTGGTGGACCGCTGTCATTCCGGCAGAAATCATCCGTCCACGGCTCCCACGTGGCTCGTGCGCCTCTTGCTGGTGCCCTCGTACGTACGTCGAACTTCTTTCGCACCGTACGTAGCCAACCGTGCTCACCGGAGTCCGCGGAGGTGGGGGGGGTGGGTGGCTGAGTGAGTGAGTGTGTGGCTGGGTGAGTGAGTGGGTGGCTGGGTGAGTGAGTGGGTGGCTGAGTGGGTGAGTGAGTGGGTGAGTGGGTGAGTGAGTGGGTGGCTGGGTGAGTGAGTGGGTTGCTGAGTGAGTGAGTGTGTGGCTGGGTGAGTGAGTGGGTGGCTGGGTGAGTGAGTGGGTGGCTGGGTGAGTGAGTTGCTGAGTGAGTGGGTGGCTGGGTGAGTGAGTTGCTGAGTGAGTGGGTGGCTGGGTGAGTGAGTGGGTGGCTGGGTGAGTGAGTGTGTGGCTGAGTGAGTGAGTGGGTGGCTGGGTGAGTGAGTGGGTGGCTGGGTGAGTGAGTGGGTGGCTGGGTGAGTGAGTGGGTGGCTGGGTGAGTGAGTGGGTTGCTAAGTGAGTGAGTGGGTGGCTGGGTGAGTGAGTGGGTTGCTGAGTGAGTGAGTGGATTGCTGAGTGAGTGAGTGTGTGGCTGGGTGAGTGAGTGGGTGGCTGGGTGAGTGAGTGGGTTGCTGAGTGAGTGAGTGGGTAGCTGGGTGAGTGAGTGGGTTGCTGAGTGAGTGAGTGGGTAGCTGGGTGAGTGAGTGGGTTGCTGAGTAAGTGAGTGGGTGGCTGGGTGAGTGAGTGTGTGGCTGGGTGAGTGAGTGGGTGGCTGGGTGAGTGAGTGGGTTGCTGAGTGAGTGAGTGTGTGGCTGGGTGAGTGAGTGTGTGGCTGAGTGAGTGAGTGAGTGGCTGGGTGAGTGAGTGTGTGGCTGGGTGAGTGAGTGGGTGGCTGGGTGAGTGAGTGGGTGGCTGGGTGAGTGAGTGGGTTGCTGAGTGAGTGAGTGTGTGGCTGGGTGAGTGAGTGGGTGGCTGGGTGAGTGAGTGGGTTGCTGAGTGAGTGAGTGGGTTGCTGAGTGGGTGAGTGGGTGAGTGAGTGGGTGGCTGGGTGAGTGAGTGGGTGGCTGAGTGGGTGAGTGGGTGAGTGAGTGGGTGGCTGGGTGAGTGAGTGGGTGGCTGGGTGAGTGAGTGGGTGGCTGGGTGAGTGAGTGGGTGGCTGGGTGAGTGAGTGGGTGGCTGAGTGAGTGAGTGGGTTGCTGAGTGAGTGGGTGGCTGGGTGAGTGAGTGGGTGGCTGAGTGAGTGAGTGTGTGGCTGGGTGAGTGAGTGGGTGGCTGGGTGAGTGAGTGGGTTGCTGAGTGAGTGAGTGTGTGGCTGGGTGAGTGAGTGGGTGGCTGGGTGAGTGAGTGGGTTGCTGAGTGAGTGAGTGGGTGGCTGGGTGAGTGAGTGGGTGGCTGGGTGAGTGAGTGGGTGGCTCGGCCTTTCCCAATCGGCTCTCTTGAGGGGGAGGCGTGACCTTTGGTGGGCTCAAGAGGTCCCCGTGGAGCCGGGGGTGTGTGTCGGGCGTTGAGGACTTTTCAATCATTTTGTGGGTGGTTATTGCCAGTCTCCGGATATGTCGGGGGTGGGGGGGGGGTGGCAGGTGGTGTTGTTTGCCAGCACGGGGAGCCAGGCTATTTAAGGAAAAAGTTTGATCGTTTCTTCCTAAACTAAGAGATGGTGGGGGGGGGGGGTCGGGGCGGGGGGGGGGAGTTACCTTTTTTCTGCTTCTTCTCGTGCGTCTTGCGGTTGAATATCTTGTAGGACTCCGTCTGCTGGTACTTCTCCAGCTCCTTCATGTATCGCTCCTTGTCCTTGTCCGCCTCGTCCAAGTACCTCTGGCGGGACACGTCGGTACGATAGCTGATCGGACCGTACCATTGTACTAAAAGAAAAAACTATCAAACTAATTTCGTTATTTTTGTTCACAATAGTTATGCTAATTTTCTCTGCCCCCTCCCTCTCTCCGTCCCCGCCCCCCCTCTCTATATTTAAGGGACCGTCACAGAAACGACCCCTCTCTTTGTGCCGATATGTGTCCTCTCTCTGTGTGCCCTTGTGATGTCTGTCTGCTTGTATGTCTGTCTATAGTTTTCTAGTTAGATTTTTTGTTGCTATTTCTTTTAAGCCTGATGATGATTGCTTGTGTTGCAATCGAAACGTCGTAATATGCTATTATTTTAATTTATTATTTTATCTTTAGACGTGACTTAACCGAAAGAACCAAAGAATAATTCCTGCAGTCACGAAAGCTCCAAAATTAAGAATAGTAGAGGTGTTTGTTTTGGTTAGATCGCGTGAAATTCAAAAGTGCGTCGTAAACCCGCCTCCACATGACGAGGCCGATTCGTCGATTTGGTCGGTTTTACGACACATTTACGTGATGTAACACGACAAGAAAACCTTCATCATGAATACTGGTCGCGAAAGCCTCCGTGTAAAAATACTCCGCTTCATTCGACACCGATTTGGCGATGGATTACGAAACGATGTTAAGGAGTATAACGAGTATATCATAACGTACAGGTTTACGTCTTATAGCGCTGCCTCTAATAACCACGTTTCCTTATCACGCCCTTCGTCCTGGGAGGAAAATTCGTGCGGGGTTCAGCCCATATATGGAAAAAAGTAGGCATGGCCTTGCCTGCAGGGGTCACATCTCTACCCATATATGGAAGAAAGTAGGTGTGGCCTTGTCTGTAGGGGTCGCGTCTCTACCCATATATGGAAGAAAGTAGGCGTGGCCTTGCCTGTAGGGGTCATGTCTCTACCCATATATCGAAGAAAGTAGGCGTGGCCTTGCCTGCAGGGGTCACATCTCTACCCATATATGGAAGAAAGTAGGTATGGCCTTGTCTGTAGGGGTCGCGTCTCTACCCATATATGGAAGAAAGTAGGTATGGCCTTGCCTGTAGGGGTCACGTCTCTACCCATATATGGAAGAAAGTAGGCGTGGCCTTGCCTGTAGGGGTCGCGTCTCTACCCATATATGGAAGAAAGTAGGCGTGGCCTTGCCTGTAGGGGTCATGTCTCTACCCATATATGGAAGAAAGTAGGTGTGGCCTTGTCTGTAGGGGTCGTGTCTCTACCCATATATGGAAGAAAGTAGGCGTGGCCTTGCCTGTAGGGGTCGCGTCTCTACCCATATATGGAAGAAAGTAGGCGTGGCCTTGCCTGTAGGGGTCATGTCTCTACCCATATATGGAAGAAAGTAGGTGTGGCCTTGTCTGTAGGGGTCGTGTCTCTACCCATATATGGAAGAAAGTAGGCGTGGCCTTGCCTGTAGGGGTCGCGTCTCTACCCATATATGGAAGAAAGTAGGCGTGGCCTTGCCTGTAGGGGTCGCGTCTCTACCCATATATGGTCTTTGCGGAACCTGAAAGGAGCCGTCTATTGTATCGATTCTGCTCAGTCGAGCAGAGTATCAATTAATCGAGGGATAATCAGTGCGTCGATGCATTAGCGATCCGTGGATCGAGTAATCTCGTTGGTTAGTATGACTTCGCGCGGAACGTGCGTCTACAGCAGACGGTTAATCTTGCGCAAGCTCCGACCGAATGGTGAGTACGTAACTTATTGTATTTTTCATGTTATTATCATAAGAAGTTATTATATTTAATTTCTAAAACGCTTTATTACATTTAGCATGCATACAGTATCATTATTAAGGCAACTGCCGACACCCCGATGAAGCCCTCATGTATTGCTCATCGGTAACAACAATATAGCGCTGTTGGTAACGAATCTCCATTGGAACCACGTGATAATAACCTCCTATAAAACTAAACTACCAGACTAATACAAGTTTTTATTTTACCAGGTAAAGCCCACCATGCTATAGAGCTCTTTTTACACGCTTTTATTTAACTCACTCAGTCTGTTGTCGTATCCTCAAAAAATCTTGTGACTCAATTTCAACCGTCTTCCCAATGTCATATCGACTGCAAACTTGAAATACCTATGTCATACCTATGTAAAAAAAATTTAAACGATCATTTTTACGGCTCTAATTGTCCACGCTCAACTCACGTTGGCTGTAAATCACCACGGTCCCTTACGGGCAAACCTCGAAGAGCCACGCCGAGGGGTGGGGGTTGTGGAAGGAGGGGAGGGGCGATGAGGGAAGGGGGCAGGGGGGGAGGGGCAGCTCGGAGTTGGGGGGGGCTCTCTGACGCTGTGGCAAGCTGCGGGCCCACTTCCTGGAGTCGTGGAGTTCTGCCATTACTCGTACGGTACATTTCATTAAAGCGTGTTTTTAAAAAAAGTATTTTTAAATATTACTTATTCAGAAGCGACCTGGCAATCAACGAAGTGGCTTATCGCGTGGAAATTTATAGCAGCCAAATAACTCCGACGCGCGTCGATTCTAAATGTGGAGGGAAAAAGCAGACGACTGGGAGAAAGATCCACGCAATCACCACGGGGAGAGAGACACGCAAACTAAAAACATACAGCAGGCATCAGGGTCAGGATTGAATCCCATGACCTCCTGTATACCAAGCGAGGTCGCTAACATCTCGCCACCGTGGTGCCCCACCCCAATGAAGCCCTCAAATATGGCTCATAGGTCTAAACAAATAGCGCTGCTGGTAACGCATATACATTGGAACCATAGTGACCTCCGATAGCACCGCTTGGTATAGCGCTCCGTTTTACCAAGAACGCATCCTTTGTGCTAAACGCGGTATGCCTGTGTAGGGAGGTGGTGGTGGTGGTGGTGGGCAACGTTGGTGGTGGTGGTGGGGTGGTGGTGTGTGGGGGCGGGGCGGTGGGGGGGGGGCACCTGCTTCTCCTGCGCGGGCAGCTTGCTCCACTCGTTGCCGAGCATTCTCGTGATCTCGGGGAAGGAGACCTCGGGGTTCTCGGCGCGCACCTGCTCCCGCCGCTCGTTCAGGAAGCGCACGTAGCCCGTGAGCGGCGCCCGCGGGGCGTTAGTGTCGCGTCCCGTCTTCTTGCGCTTCTTCCCCTTTGGCCAGCCGCCCTTCTTCACCACGCGCTGCTGCGGCTGGCGCCGCCGGTGACACGGGGCGCAAGGCAAGGGCGGGTTGCGGAGGGGGGGGGGGGTGGCGGTGGGGACAAGGAGCGGCAGCGAGCGTGCGGACGGGGGGGCGGGCGTTAGGGGCGACGGCGACATCACGACGTCGCTATCGGCGGCGGTGTCAAGATGTGCACGGCGATGGGGGGGTTGGGGGTTTGACAGCAGCACAACGATGATGGGAGGCGTTGTCACCATTTGCGTATTGTCCGGGAGGGCGGCACGTCAGGTGGCCGCACTGAAGGCCGCCCGGGGGGGGGAGGGGGGGGCTCCAAGGGGGGGCCAAGTGGCCTGTTGGGGCCTTGCGATGCGGCGAAATGAATAAACACAGCGGCGGCAGCGGAGGAAAGGGGGGGGGGGGCGGACGCCGCCGCCGTTTGTACCTCCTCCTCGGCGCGCGGCTCCGTGGCCTCGCCGCCGTGCGGAGACTCGTTCTGCGGGAGCTGCGCGTGGGACACGTCCTCCGCAAACTCGGGGCTCGCCAGCGCCTGGGAGACGTTGCCTGCAAACGCGCCCTCCCCGGCCGGCAACCTGCAGGCGCGCGAGCGGCAGATCGCGGGCGACACGCGCGCGGGCGTGAGGGCGCGGGCGGTAGGGGCCGCTGGAGATGTATTGATTACATCACCCACGCGCGTCTCCACTCGTTCACCACAAGTGACGTTGGTCGGTACGCAGCGAGTACGCGGCATCGCCGTGTCATCTGCACACGTCGCAGTGTTGTTGACAAACGTGTTGAGCTTAGTGCTAATTGTGCACCACTGCCAGCGGGTTTTTTAATTCATTATTATTTATTCACTCATGGTCCACCGCAAACAGCACCCGCACCAACTAGGGCTGATGCAGATACCTGACGATGCACAAATGGAAAATTAAAAACTCTTCAACAGACCATACAACGTATAACGACGCAATGCACCGAGACCCACAGATACGAAGGAGACATCACGGCGATAACACTCCGCCGCCGCTCCCGACGCGGTTTGTGCGGCTTGACCACCCGAACGTGAAATTGTAGCTGTTGCTGTCCTGCGTCTGCATCAGCCGTACGAAAAAACAACAAGATTTGTTCAGCCATTAAACTTTTGGAGGAAACTCACGAGGCGTCGACTGCGAGGTCGGTGCTCTCCTTTGAGACGTCGTCGTCTGCAAAGAGCGTGACGAGGGTGGGGTTCGCCATCAGCCCATCCATCCTCCTCTACCTGGAGGAGCCACGGACAGAGAGAGAGAGAGAGAGAGGAGACGGGAGTGAGGAGGTCAAGGGCAGCACAAGTGGGTTGACGACTCTGGGGGAAGCGGGCGTCGTGCAAGGTGGGTGGGTGGTGGCTCACAATGGCCATTGTTGGTGATGCCCCGGGAAAAAGGCAAGCGGCTGCTTGCGCACGGCGGGGTTGGGTTGCGCGAGGTACAAGTGGTTTTAATTGCGGGGGGGGGGGGGGGACGCCGTAGCAATAAGGCCGAGACCCACTGATACATTTCATCAACGGGGACGGTGTCATAATGGCCACGTGGCAAACAAGCCTGAGGGCAGCGTGCCTCTTCCACGCAGTGGCTGCGTGTCCGAGGCCCGGGACACCTGCGCCACTGCGGCTGTCACGTGCAGTGCGTGCGACGTTCGTTACAAGCCGTCGGTGGCTGTGTAAATCACCCTTTGTGAACACGCGCTTGCTGGTGTCATGTTGTCCTAGCCGAGCTGTGATGCAAGCGACCTGTGCACATATTGGACGAATGGAACGTGGTAAAAACCACTCTTTGAAGTTCACAAAGCTTGACAGACCTAATAATGGGCACGAATTTAAATATTGTTATTCTCCTTGAGCGCTGAATAGAGATAACATCAATTCGAAGTTGGTTAAAGAGTGCACGGATAATAAAAAATAATAATACTCCTTCATGGATTCTCACATGGCTAAACAAAGGACATCAATTAAAAGACAATGAATCTCAGCGGAATACATTAGCGAGCCTGCATAGCATTTGGGCATAATTAGATACCCACTTATCACAGTATCATAGTGGGCTTGACACGGTCAAGTAAGTACACCACTGTCAGCCATGGTCGAGCCGCTGTTGGATGAAGGCCTTCCCATGGCGTCAACAACTCCGACATACAGGCCACTGCAGCTCTCCAATAGCTGGTGGGTGGGGGGCAGGCGTGACGTCAGTACGACGTAGGAACCGGGCTCAAGCGCTGTGGGTGGCGTCACGTGCGTGATGACGCCACCACCACCACCACGCACACTTCTCGAGACCGCCTCCGCACGGGAGACACAGCATGAATATCTAACGATGATGAAGACGATGATGATGGATCATAGCCGATTGTTTGAGACTGGTGGGTGAATGGCAGCGAAAGGAGAAACGTGGGTTTGAGGGGGCCGACCACGGCAGGGATGGCGCGATGAGATATCGGTTCTTGGGCAGGATTACGATGGATTGCGTGAGTGCAGGACCGCTCGGGGGATGGGTGACAATGTCATGATAAGAGGCCTTCATCCAGCGGCGAAAAAAACCACGGCTTGTAGTAATCTATGGTTTAAAAAAAAGGCACGGGCAGATTGGCACACCTCAATAAAATCGCACGAGTAACTGGCACGGAAAGAAAGCAAACTTCAACCGGTTCCGATGGTCTAATAACAGAAATATATTTTCTTATTTACCCAGCCAAGAAAAAAGCTGCATTGGGTCCTGAAGACGAATTTTCAGGAGGGTCCTGCACTGCAATGTTTGAAATTGTGAGATTGATAAATCATTCAACTTAATTATAAAGCCACGTGGTGATACTAATAACCCACACGTCTCGACTGGTAAAAGGGGCACCTGCCAATCTAAACACTGTACGGTCAAAACCAATCTCAATGTTTTCCCAAAGAGAATAAAAACATTTCAGAAAGTTCAACTAGTTTACAAAAGAAATTGTACTAAATAGAGGGTTCGTACATCAAGTAGAACACAATTAGATACTGTATTGCAAAACACCAACAACCTACGATGGTAACACATCAGTTGGTTAAATAATGGGGCCCCACTTCATGCAATGAATCTCAATATCTAGAATTACTCCGTGGGCTCAGAGTAGTAAATCAAACTTCAGGTAATAGTTATGAAACAAGACACTTGGGGGTACATAGAAAAACATCAACTAATTACCGGCCATAAGCCACAATGGTTGAATAATAAACACCAACATAGAATCTCAATGGGGTTAAATTACTTCAATGAGGAAATATCACTGGGGCTCACAGTACACCAGACAGACTGAAGGTGAAACACATGAAGTGGTAAGAATTAGTAGTTACCTGCACATTGAAAATGTCAACAAATTGCTGAGCTAAAACTGAAATGGTTCAATCAAGGGCTGCCGTAGCGTGTCAAAAAGCTTATGAATATACACTTCAATGTTATTATTGCTGTGAGTTCGTGTACATTACACGTCAGGCTATTGAAAAGGGACCAACGAATCAACGCAAAAAGCTTTCGGTGGTTAAATAAAAGGGCGCCGATTACAAGAGGCTACGCATGGCAAAATGCACCGTTAACTCGATTCTTAAAATAAGAACTCATCTCACTGGGCTAATGTCGAAGTGAAGTTAATATCTCACAACAATCATGAAACAAAAACGATTTTATACACCCCAATAAGTGAGTTTAACACACAGTAGGCTTTCACGACCAATATTATCCATCAAAGGTTTTTTTGGGGGGGTTAGATCGCATCAATATGAATGTGTCGTTAAACCCGCCACCACCCGACACAGCCAATTAGTAAGGTGTGTCACGTAAACAAAAAGTGCCAATTAGTTACGAGTTCGAATTGTAAATGTAGTGCTGAACTAGTAACGAATTTGGCACGTTCTATTTACGTGACAACCCCATCACTAATTGGCCGTGTCGGGTGGTGGCGAGTTTAACGACACATTTATATTTACGCGATCTAACCCAACAAAGAATCCCCCTATGGACCCAATAAGTTATCTTTACACAAACATCGAATGGTTGAACGGCGGTCACCAATCAAAACCAGCAAATCATCAATTCAAGCAGCATCACGGCTCGATCAGCGACTTTCTTACCAATAATCTCTATTTTTGCACACTCCTATCGTGTTTCGTGTATTCGTTTGATGTTGTAACCATGTCCCCCCCCGCCAATACTTGACATATGTGAGGGGGGGGGGGCTTTATAGCTCATCGGATTTCAGTCTAAAACAAAGATCATGATTCTTAACGATATCGACATCTAACCTCGAATCCACCATCGTTGGAACCTCCGTGGACACTGCACGAGAGAGACAAGGGACGTGACGTGCTTCCAAAAACGCCATACTTTGCCGGTAACCTTTAACAGACTGTTGGTGGCAATCTTCTTGGTTCTTTCGGCAAAGTCACGTAGAAGGGAAAACATAAAATAATACAAAATTTTACATGATAAAATACAATTCTCACGACGTTTCGGCCACAACGCAAGCAGCCGTCCTCAGGTGAAGACCAGGTCTGTCGGAAAGACAGCGTCTGAAGTGTTGGGGCAAATTCTGTTTGCGAGCAGCACCGAGGGGGGTGGGTGGTCAACGACCCCGCCCGGCCGCCTTTGTCTCTCTCTGTGGCGATTTTTTTTGTTGTTTTACGAATCGCCACGAGGCACTCGATTAATCGAGGTCCGAGTCGATGCAGGGGAGGCCCAGGACCGGTTCAGATGAATCGTCACCGGCCTGCCGGGATCGTCGCGCTAACCGTTGCACCACCGCTCCCACAAAGATGCCCCGTGTAGCCTGCAACAGACTGTAGGGGCAAGTGCTGTTAGCGAGCAGCACCTGTGAAGGCAACACGCGCAGCCGCCTTTGTCTCCCCAGTGGCGATGTCTACTACACACCGCACCAGGTACTAATTTGAAGGCTGAGTCGACCTAGGGGAGGCCCAGGACCGGTTCAGATGAATCGTCATCTGTGTTGGTGGCCGTGAGCGGGAATCGAACTTGGGTGGCCAAGTTCGCAGCGTAGCGCGCTAACCACTACACCATCGCTCCCCACACACACAGACACACGAACACACAGACACACACGAACACAGACACACGAACACACAGATACACACAGACACACACGAACACACACAGACACACACGAACGCAGACACACACAGACAGACACACAGACACACACGAACACACACACAGACACACGAACACACACGAACACACAAACACACACACAGGAACAGACAGACACACACACACGAACACACACAGACACACGAACACACACAGACACACGAACACACAGACACACGAGCACAGTCACACAGACACACACACAGATACACACGAACACACAGACAGACCTCGACACACACACACACACGAACACACACAGACACACGAACACACAGACACACACACACGAACACACAGACAGACACACAAACACACACACACAGACACACAGACAAACACACGAACACACAGACACACACACAGACACACACACGCGCCTCCATCATCTATTCAACAAACCGAGGCACTCGTTACAAAGGCGGTGCCGCACGCTCAGCCCACGTCGCTCCACCACCACCACCAACAACCACCACGGGCAAAGGGCCCATTTTTAAAATATAAAAGAGAGAGAGACCGACCACAGGCCTCAGGCTTGCGCCAAACAAAAGCGCGATTTTTAGTTTTTATATTTAAGGCGTGGGGTGCGCGTGTGCGTGTGTGGGGGGGTAGCGTGTGTGTGTGAGGGGGGTTAACAGTTTTGCAGGCGCAACGCCGCCAACCTCTCTCGTCGCTCGCTGCGCCCGCTCGCCCCTCACGCTTCACGGCCGCATGCGGAGACCGCGGGGAACCGAGGGCCCCTCGCTCGCTCGCTCGCCCGCCGCCCGCCGCCTGGAGCCTGGAGTCCGGTGCAGAGGGCCTCGTCCTTCTTCACCTGCGGGGCCGTCTGAGGGCCCGTAGCAGCGGGAAGGCCCAAGCCGCGCTCTCATTGGCTGAGCCATCGCTTCCCGTGGGGGTTGGGGGGTGTGATTGCGCGATTGCTATTGGAAGAGAGATTTGTAAGGGGCGGGGGGAGGAGGGTGGGAGGAGCTATAATTGTAACCGGGATGCCATAGCAGAGGGTTTACCTCTAGCGGGTATGGTTTGCCATGTTAGAGGTTTTACCTCTAGGCTTGGTTTGTTTGATAATGTCTAGAGGTACTATAGCAGAGGGTTTACCTCTAGCGGGTATGCCTTGTCATGTTAGAGGTTTGACCTCTAGGCTTGGTTCGTTTGGTAATGGCAAGAGGTACCATAGCAGAGGGTTTACCTCTAGAGGGCGTGGCTTGCCATGTTAGAGGTTTTACCTCTAGGCTTGATTCGTTTGGTCGTGGTTAGTGGTACCATAGCAGAGGGTTTACCTCTAGGGGATACCACTTGCCATGTTAAAGGTTTTACCTCTTGGCTTGACAATGTGTAGAGGTGCCATAGCAGAGGTTTTACCTCTCTGGGGTAGAGGCTGCCATGTTAAAGGTTTTACCTCCAGGCATGGAGCTGTAGCACCCTATGTAGCGGTACCATAGCAGAGGTTTTACCTCTATATGGTATGGCGTGCCATAGTAAAGGTTTAACATCATCCGTTTAACAAATAAAATAAACTAAAACTGTAGATTTGGTGGTTTATGACGATGTGTAGAGGTACACTAACAGAAGTTGAAACCTTTAGGGGGCAAGGATTGCCACGTTAAAGGTTTTACCTCTCAATCTCGGTGGTGAAATATGTCCATGTCTAGAGGTACCATAGCAGAGGTTTTACCTCTAGCTGCGAGTACGTATGTTAATGTAGAGTGCCATTTGTAATTGCTGCAAACATTGATAAACGGAATGTAACAATCTTGATTTGAATGTATGTTTGTGGAAATCTATTGATGTCGATCGATTCCATGGTTCGCGTTGTATATGTATTCACACACTTTAGCGGCATCAAGTTCAGCACAAGCAAACAACGGGCCCGGCTTCGGCATGCGATGTTTCATACTCTTAGGTTTTTTCGGTAAAGTCACGTGGGCAAAAATAAATAATAAAAGTGAAAATAATAAAAATATTAATAAAAATATTTTTTTATTTCTATAATTTTTACTTTTATTATGAATTTTTCCCTACGTGACTTTACCGAAAAAACCTAAGAGTATGAATCTTTGCGGTCACGAAAGCTTCAAATCTAGAATGCGGTGTTTCATCAGCAGTCACAGGCCCGCCACAAGCAATGCTGCTGCAGGCAAAGGGGCCGTCCATAAATGACGTCACGCACCTAGGGGCGGGTGGGTGGGTGGGGGTCAGACATTTGTGACGATGTGTGACGAGGGGGGAGGGGGGGTTTAAGAAATGTGACGTCACATCAAAATGCGCAACTTTAAATAAATACAGACAACACGTTCTACTTACTTAAATAGACTTTAGTTTAAAGCGATTTGAAGCATTTTTATTTTGGGGGGGGGGGGGGCAGAGCTTTGTGACGTCATATTTTAGGGGGGTCTGACTTTTTGTGACGCCGTGTGACGAGGGGGGAGGGGGCAAAAATCGTAAAAAAAATCGCGTGACGTCATTTATGGACGGCCCCAAACCCCCTCTCCCTCTCTCTAAGACACGGGGGTCCCGCTGAGTTCAACGCAAAACCATTGCTGGCGGATCGGCAGGGTTGCCTTTGGCGGGCCTGACTGCTGATGAGACACGGCATCTCGAAACTTGGCTTGGAGTGGGTTTTATCGGCGTTAAGGCACTAACCGTAATAGGGGCCGTCCATAAATGACGTCACGCGGCCGTCTGGAACGCTCTCCCCTTCCGATGTTAGGGAGCCACGGGGAGCTGATGCACTGTTACGTCACCTCGATCAGGGGTCGGCAAAACTGCGGCTCTTCGTGGCCGTGATGAAGGAACCACCATCGCCGTCTCGTATTCACGTCCATTGCGGCTCTTGAAATAACGAGTTTTTCTTGAACGAATTAAAAAATGAAACAGAACTGGCTCTTCTTTCACCTGAAGACGGTCGCTTGTTGTTGCGATCGAAACGTCGTGATCTATTATTTTTCTCTCTACCTACGTGACTTTACCGAAAGAACCAAAGAGTATGGATTCCTGCAGTCACGAAAGCTTCAAATCAAGATTGGATCTTGTTATTTTGGCTGCCGACTCCTGATGTAGACTAATTTCGTTTATAACTGTGTTTTAGTGTTTTTAGTTTGTTGTCCTCCCCGCCGCACATCCGATTGAGCACGGTTGGCTACGTACGGTGGTGCGACATGAACTCAAAACAAACGTGTTCACGTACAATGCGCTATTCAAAAGTGACCAAGACTGGATTTCTGAGATTGTAGATTCAGCCGAACGACCGGGAACACGAAGGTAATGAACTCGCCGCTGCGCCCCGCAGATTTCCAGTCGAACCACGACGCGTCTCGAGCCGGGACCCTCGCCGAACGAACGCCCCGCGTCTCGTTGTCATTGTTGTTCACAGCACACGATGATCGTGGCCTGCGATGGTGAAGCGCGCAAGCCGGAGTGGCAGCCTGGGCAGGGAACGCGTCCAGGGGGAACGTCCCCCGAGGAGATGGAGCACGTGCTGGATGGAGATCGCAGCACCACAAGAAGAATATCGTGGCCGTGGTTTGCACGGTGGAGGCTTTCATCCGGCAGTGGATTGAACGTGGCTGGATTGATGATGATGATAAAGGTAAGTGGTGTTCTCAAGCCAAATTATTACGACTACGATACCACATTGTCCGTGCGTGATTTCTGGACACCGCACACCAACGGCAGTGCCGCGAGGATGAATTAAAGCCAAGTCGATGTGGCCCCGTGCCCTCCCAGTAAAAACATGGAACGTGGGGCCAACGTTGGGTCAACGTTGGCCCGAGCACACGCCACAACCGCGCTCCCGGACCGCTAAATGTCGAGGTGAGGCACTGGAGCTGCCGTGAGTGGGATGCGGCCGGTCAACCCGAAGGGAGTCTTGGAATCAAACACCGAAGAGCTTGGTAGTGTCTCATTCTTCACCTGAAGACGGCTGCTTGCGTTGTAGCCGAAACGTCGTGAGAATTGTTTTATTATGTTTTATTTTTATTATTTTATTACTTCCCTTCTACGTGACTTTACCGAAGAGCTCTTTATTAAATTCACGGCGAGAAAACAAAATTACAACCGAACGACAGCAATAATAACAACAACAAGAAGAGAAATTGCCACCGACGTCACCCACGCAAGCTCGTTCGTGGCATCCGCGAGCTGAAATTGTGCAGCGAACGGAACGGTTGAGTTTGTTCTTTCTTCTTCGTCTTTTTGGACGACAGCGATGGACCACAGGCCGAGTGGGATGACGCGTGGCCTGCAAGTCCACCATCGCGTGGGGTGCGGTGCAAAGACGGAGATCGCCCCGTGCAGCGCGAACAGACTGTCGGGGCAAGTGCCATAAGCGAGCGGCACCTATGAAGGCCGGAACGGGTTCACGAGTGGGTGGGTGGTCAGCACCACGCCCGGCCGTCTTCGTTTCCCCAGTGGCGATGTTTACACACCACGCTCCAGCTACTCATTGGAGGCCGAGCCGACCTAGGGGTGGCCAAGGACTGGTTCAGACACTGGTGCTGGTGGCCGCGAGCGGGAATCGAACCCAGGTGGCCGGGTTCGTAGCGAGGGGCGCCAGCTGCTGTGCTGCCGCTCCCCACAAGCGCACACACTTGGCCCGTGGGACAAGGGGGGGTGGGATCGGTGGACACCACTTGGGGTGGCAAACGTCCACCAGTGTGTCCCACAGTAGGTGGACAACCCAGCAAACGTGCAAACGTGAGGCCACCGTCGGTTGATGTTGGGACCCGACATTGTTTGAATGTTTAGCGGGCAAGCTTCGCAGTGCTCGTGCCATCTGTTTTTTTTGTAATTTACTGACGTCATCTTTATTTTGACACTTCATATAAGATGCTTCATTTTCACATTGGGGTTTTTTTTTTAAATGAAACAAATAAATATAAAAAATATCATTAAACTCGTTACGATACCCTTCATTAACCAAACAACATTTTAATCAAAGAGAGCTACCACGTGAGCCTTGCTATGAGACGCATGCACGATCTGTAGAGAATATCGTTTGCAAAAAAAATATTCAGTAGGGCTTTTGCAACCAATATTATCCAGAAGAGGTTTTTGGGTTAGATCACGTAAATATGTGATGGTAAACCCGCTACTTGACAAACCTAACTAATTGGCTGTGTCGGGTGGTGGCGGGTTTAACGACACATTTATATTTTACGTGATGTAACTCAAAAACCTCTATGATGGAAAAAAAATCTTGGTTGGCGATTGGGCGAGCCACGGTTGGTACCGGCACGACATTTTTGACCCCACGACTCCGGCGGGAACGACTGTGCAACGAAAATTAGGCCTAAATGTTTAGATATTGTTTTTTTTACGATTGATTCTAAAGCCCTCCAACGTGGGCTGTGGCGTTGGTGGCGTTGGTGGCGTGGTCCTGCAGTGAGGCTCACGGTTCGAAAATCCATCGGACGCCACGTTTAATACCGCGGCTTTAACAACGGTGATAGTAATAGCATCCGTAGTAATACTACTCTGCACGATGTGTTTCGCAGCGGACGTTAAATATCCTCACACCCCAGAACCCCCGACGTTATTCGCAAAGAGCAGGCCATTTCGCGAGTAGGGCATTGTGTGCAACGTTTGCCAATTTACCCTGAAAATTGGGATTATGACTGGCACACTCTGCAAAATGCGACTAATCCGGTCTCTCTCCCGAGTTGTCACCCGGGGCTAAACCAAGTCATACAAAACCTGGGAGGCTATGCGGGAAGCAGTGAGTCAAGGGCTGCGATGCTACGTGCACCGATGACATTTTTGCGTGATACATTAGGCTGGCGGCTAGCGGGCGTCTTACGTAGGGACACGGCTCCACCCATTATTGCTACGGC